TCACATATAAATGATAGCTTGCACAGTGATGCAGAAATAACTTTATATCCTGGGTGTTCTACGTATTCACGGTTGACAGCTGTATTGAAGTTATTCAATTTGAAGGCAACTAATGGATGGACAGATAAAAGTTTTATGGAATCACTTCAATTGTTGGGTGATATGCTTCCAGCTGATAATGTTCTTGCAAATAGTGTCTATGAGGCAAAGAAAATCTTGTCTCAAATGGAAATGGGCTATGAAAAGATACACGCTTGTCTTAATGATTGCATATTATACAGGGAAGAGTATGCTGATCTTAGTGAGTGTCCAAAATGCAGATCTTCACGATATAAAGTGAAAAAGCACAAAGATAGTGATGATGGCGATGCTAATGAGACAACTAAAGGGTAACTTTTGAAAGTATTATAGTATCTTCCGATAATACTACGATTCAAAGGGTTGTTTGCTAATGCAACAGAGGCAAAAAAGATGACATGGCACGTTGATGAGAAAATATCAGATGGAATATATCTTAGGCACCTTGCTGATTTTCCCCAATGGAAGAAAATAGATGAAATGTATCCAGAATTTGGTAGTGAGCCAAGAAATCTTCGTCTTGGGCTTTGTACAGATGGAATTAATCCTTACGGTACTCTCAACAGCACACATAGTGCACGACCAGTTTTGCTTGTGATTTACAACTTATCTCCCTGGTTATGCATGAAGCGCAAGTACATGATGTTGTTTATGATGATATCAGGACCAAAACAGCCGGGGAACAATATCGACGTCTACTTGGCACCTTTGATTAAAGACTTGAAGAAATTGTGGGAGGAAGGCGTAGATGTGTTTAATGCACATAAACAAGAGTCCTTTAAACTGCATGCAATTATCTTCATGATGATAAATGATTTTCCTACCTATAGAAACTTGTCAGGATACAGTGTAAAGGGATATAAAGCATGTCCTATATGTGAAGCGGACACACACTACCTCCAACTTAAGCATGGAAGGAAAACAGTTTATCTTGGTTATAGGAGGTTTCTCGATAGATTCCACCCATACCGTAGATTGAAAAAGGTTTTTAATGGTACACCAGAACATGGATTGGCTCCGAAGCCATTAATTGGAGAGGAAGTTTATCGTAAAGTGGAAAGAATTGATGTCGTGTTTGGTAAGAATAAAAAGATTGTAGGTGAGAAGAACATTTGGAAAAAAAAGTCCATATTCTTTGATCTTCCATATTGGTGTAATCTTGATGTTAGACACAGTCTTGATATGATGCATGTGGAGAAAAACGTTTGTGATAGCCTTATTGGTACTCTTTTGCATATACCAGGAAAAACTAAGGATGAAATCAATGTTAGACTAGACTCGGCTGAAATGGGAATAAGAGAATGGTTACATCTGCAACTAAAAGAGGGTGGTAAGAGGGTTTATTTGGAGCCAGCGGCACACAAATTGTCAAAAGCAGAGAAAACTAGCTTGTGCCGATGTTTGCATAACATTAAGGTGCCACAGGGTTATTCTTCTAATATGAAAAAGCTTGTCTTGATGGACGATTTAAAGTTAGTTGGGATAAAATCTCATGATTATCATGTATTGATGCAGCAACTATTAGTGGCTATTCGAGGTATTATGAAAGATGATGTGAGAAACACAATAACTAAACTGTGTATTTTTTTCAATGCTATTTGCAGCAAAGTTATTGACACTGAAAAGTTAGATGAATTGGAAAAAGAGGGGTATGTTATTCTGTGTCAACTAGAAATGTATTTTCCTTCAGCATTTTTTGATATCATGGTACATTTGATAGTGCATTTAGTAAGGGAGGTAAGGCTCTGTGGCCCTGTATATCTAAGATGGATGTATTCATTTGAGAGATTCATGAAAGTCTTAAAGGGTTATTCTAAGAATCCTTATCGACCTGAGGCATCAATTGTTGAAAGATATGTAGCTGAAGAGGCCATAGACGTTTGCAAAGGATATCTATCTGGAGTGGAAGCACAATTAAGACTTTGCTGGCAGCTGCAACTAGGAAGTTAGACCATCCTGGTCGAGTGAGAGGGTTATCAAAGACAGTTGGTTTAGCCCAATATTTTGGTTCCAGTTCACAAAGCTCAATAGGCAGAAGTGTCCCAAGTGCTGACCTGATGGACAAAATTCGAGCACAAGTTCGTGAAGAGATTATGACAAGTGATGAGGTTCGTCAATTCTTCAAAAATGAGTTTATGTCCGACATTGGGGAGGAGATGAGGTCTTTGGTCTCAAGCATGCAAATTGGGCAATTTCAACCACAAGAACATACACCTCAAGTATATAATTAATCACAACATAATTATTTTGTTTTGAATTTTGTCAACATTGTTTCCATTTAATTCCATTCTTTCATTTGTATCATGGTCTCAGAATTCTCCAGCCTATGGCAGCACAAAAGGGAGTTTCAATCCACAAGTGCCGTCAGTTCCATTTGACCCTAGTCCCCCACTAAATAATGGAGAACCTTGTGTTCTCTATTTAGATGACTCAAATATGCGTGTTGTTGCCAATGCCATTAGATATACAAAGGGGTCTAAAATTCATAATCAAAAAATCCCAGCGGACTCGGTCAAAGTGACGGTTACGACTGTTCGAGAGGAGGAGGTAGATGTAGATTTGCCGTTTCCCAGTGACGAGGTTGGCAAGCTAGGCCAAGCAAAAGGGCATTTTATTTTATGGCCTAAAAGACTCATTGACGTCATAACTCCAATAGTACAAAACGCAAGCATTTTCTGATTTCTCTTTCACATACTTTTTATGTCACTTATTTTATTGTATTTTCTATTAGGACATTGAAGATGCTACTAAATTTTCTTTTTGACACAACTGTATGACATTTATGAATCAGTTAACAAAGTCAATATACAAATGCCTAGTAGGATTGTGGGAGAGCAAATCACATATCATTTTGGATTGGACCAGAGGGATCTCAAGGACTTTCTATCCCTGGATCAGTTAGACATTGCATGGATTCAACTGGCAATAATGTGATTTTATTTTATGATTTATATTTTCTAATTGCTCATTTTTACTTATATGTATGAATTAATTTTTGTTTTGTATCAAATTTATGATAGCTACTTTCACAACTTGTGCGCTTCTACGGGAAAGGGACATTTGTATGGATTCATGTGTCCAGTCGCTTTGCAACCTTTGAAGAATAATATTGATAGCCAGATGAGATACGTGGATAATACCATTGCAGACACTCGCTTACCTTGTTATTTTGCTCTAATTATCGAAAAGTAAGTAGCTTATATCTATATTTGCATATTTATATCTATTTAATTTTCAAAGAATCTTTACTGGTTTTCCTTCTTTTTATATTTCAGTGGACATTGGTCGTTGTGCAATCCTTGTCCCAGAGATAACGTCATTTACTGGTTTGATTCATTGGGTCGTCCCCCAAGCAAGGAAATGAAACATATCTTCGACACGTAAGTTTTGTAGTCAAATATATTATTTTCTTACTTTATTAAGTTGTTCTAATCCCTAGTCATTTCTATTTTTTCATAGGGCTTTTAAAACGTATTATATACGGGGAGCGAAACGCGAGGAGAAAAATGGCAAGACTGTTTGGCACAAACCAAAAGTAAGAATATTTTCAATTCTTTAATATCATCAACTATATATATACATATTCATATTCACTTTGATTTTCACTTTGATTTTACAGTGTCATCGACAACCAGGAAGTGCAGAGTGCGGATATTATATTATCTGTTTCATATATAAAATTATTGAGTCTAAATGTATTCAAAATTTTGAGATGGTAATAATTCATTTGATTATGATTATTTGCTTTTTTCTATTGAATTGTTTTTCTTTAATTCTCTTATTTTGATGAATTCAATCTTCTTATTTATATAACTTACATATCTTTAATGATGAAAACTGTTATAATAATGAAGAGATTGATGCTATCCGAGATCGTTTGGCGGGGCAATTTTTTCAAGAGTTTTACACTCAAAATGATACATGAGGTTACCGGCTTGGATGGTATTGAAGTTTCTAGGATCATTATGATTGTTAAAACATGTTAGAATGTTACTAGGATTGTGTATATGTTCTTGGAATGGATCTGAATCTCTTGAATTATTATGTAATGATAATTATTATGTAATGATGTTATTAGGATTGTGGATTATGGAATAGATCTGAATGTGTAGAATTTTGCTATACTTTATGTTTTGAAAAATTTTCAGGATTTTCTGTAAAAAAAAAATTCAGGAAATTTCACATTTGTGTTTTTTTTATGCAACATTTTCGTCTATTCATCTTGAACAGACGAATATAGTATACTATTTTCGTCTGTTAAGTTGAATAGACGAATATAGTACACTATTTTCATCTGTTAAGTTGAACAGACAAATATGACATCTCATATTCGTCTGTTCAATTTAAGAGACGAATATATTACATTACATTCGTCTGTTAGTAAACAGATGAATATTCAGTTTCTATCTACGTCCCCCTCAAAACAGACGAGAAAGGACCTGCAGAACAGACGAAAATGACTTTTTTTCTAGTAGTGTTTTTTCCATACTTCCTAAATTAATTAAGCAAATTTCTCTCACAAATATTTTACGAAAATCAGCTAATTTTAGCTATCTTTGTTAAGTGACGTAAAATGGGTGAGTGGAATTTATATAAAAAGACCTCCAGAGCAATTAGAATATTTGTACAGAAGAAAATCTATGCCCTGCAACCTGACTCTTGAGAGCACATGCCTATGGTTCATGGCAGTACATGCTCCTCTGATTTTCGACTCTTTAGCCGAATGGTGCTAAACCTTGTCAACATTGTCAAGTAATTTTCTAGCACATGATGAAAATCCTTACGATTTTTATTTAGGAGAGACTCTGTAAGTTGAGCACCAACAAGTTCTATTTTTAACAGTTGAATTGGTCAAAACGTGAGCTTTAATTACATCAGTTGTTTCAACATTAAAACTTAATTGCTTTTTACACAACCCAGAAGAAAAGTTGACACTATAGATTAAATTCCCATGACCACTAAAATGAAGATTTTATTAGTGTTTATTTCACGACCATGACTATAGTATGTCAACCAAATAAAGTTCTCTCTTCAATCTCGAGTAAGCTAAAAGTTAACAGGAAGGTCTCTGAAGAAGGCAAAGGTACGGGGAGAAGTAGATTTCCCAAACAAGGAACACCAACGAGGAAGCTTCATCAATATTCTTTCGGTTATGTCTGTCGTTTTGTCCACATCTGTCCTTAGTTTCAGAAGAGGCCTTTGTTCTTTCCTAACCCCATCAAAAACATCCTTAGATGTCTGAGTTGAACATGTTCTTCTCCAGTGCAGATCCAGATCAAACAATGTTGGTGAATTCTTTCCTCCTGAAAACTGGATGATATGCCAACCATCCACGCCGCCCTTTTTGCCCGCTCGGATTAATTCTTCCGAGTTCTCAGTATCTGAGTATAGAAGTGGGGGACACACAGATTGACATTAAATAAAGACACCAATCCAGGAATATGAAAAAAAACTAAAAGGACTTAAGGCTACAAACATGTATCTTTGACTCATTGAGAGCTGAGCTTTTCAAACCTTGGCACTTTCCCTGCATCCCCTCTTATACACGGGTCCATAATGATGGAATTTTTTTTTTTTTTTAATTTATTTATTTGGTAAAGTGCAGTGTTTGAGACGATGTAGAGAAAGTTGCAGTAGAGATTCAAAATCCATTTCTTTTCACCTAAGATGGATACTGATTTTATCTAACGACTGAAAATCTCTAGATAAAGATAAAACTTCAAGGGTAGAAAGGCTCAACTTCTCATAAAAGCATGAATGTGAGGGTAATATAGACAGATTAAGAAAACAGTAGGCTTGTAAAACAAAAAGGCAACGCACCTGTAAACTTGAAATCTTCTATTTCTTCTGTATTAATTGCAAGAACCCAGCGGACGGAACCCTTGGTATCGATTGAAACTCGGGTAGCCCTTTGATCGCCTTTAGCATCACTATCGACATGGAGTTTAGGAATTTCTGACTCACTCCAGCCACCTTCAGTGTCGTTGTAAGTCCAGCAACCATATTTGACAGAGAAAGTCACAAAATCAACTTCTTTGTCTCTCCCACACACAAAACCTTCTTGAATCTGTTCTACCTCCTTCATCAACTTTCCAGGAGTAGTAGAAAATAATGACACATATGATATATTCTGTTTCCCTTCAGCAAAGTTTCCTGTTGCATCTACAACATGTACAACCTGAAATATATCCCCAAAACAAATGTACAATGTGACAAGCATAACATATGAGAGAATATGTTGTGTTTTACATTCAAATATTAACTAAAGCAATCAACTGATTGTTAAAACGATGAATAGCTTGCGTTAAATGTCTGTTTCACTAATATCTTGAATACTTTCATAACATTCCAAGGCTAATGTTAGGATTAAGTTGATAATTTCAATTTCAAAATGTCAGCTTAATTCCAATAATAGACCTAGAAAAGAAAGTATATCTAAATATAGTTTTGACATAAAATTGCTCATCATTTTAGTTTTCACATAATTGTATTTTTTTGACAATAGGACCAACAAACAACCATAGATCATGAAGGTTAATGGTAACTGAACAAACAACGAGAGTTGACACTTTAAAACTGCTCAGGTACAAAGCGATTGAAGCTCACACCATAGACGGGTAAACTACATACTTAATCATCAATTAGGGATGGAATTACACAGTTGAGACTTGAGAAGTAATTAAGATTCTTCAACGCCCTTAGAACAGAAACATTTGGGATCTAATTACTCCTGCTAATGTTTTCAGCATAGTGATAACTAGGGAACCAGTAAAAGCTTGGAACTTTGAGAAATAGTAACAGTAGTCAACAAGCTTCCAAATTAGTGCAGCAATATCTTTTAACTGATGGTCCCAAAACGAGAGTGATGAAATAGTTTTGATAACCATGTGACGGTATTGAAAGATAGACTTTTACACATGATTGTTTGTTGTCTCAAAATGTTTTTTAGTGATGAAAAAATTTCAATTTTAGAAAATAATGTTTTCCAGATTTTGAAATTTAGTACAAAAGTTAATACTTTTTCATATTTCAATACGTTAAGACTATTTGTCATATATGCAAAGATGTGAAAGTAATACAACAATCAAGCAGCACATACTCATACGACACGGAAAGAACACAACTGTAGACAGATCCGAGTATCATTTCAATGTACATATAGTATAATGCAAGCATGGAAAGTGCAAGCCAGGACAGTTCCGCAAAAACAGAATTCAGGTAACTACTTGTAATTTAGTACCAAAAACATTGAAGAATACAGGTGAGAATGGGCATTTACATTACAGCTCGCAGTGTCTTTCGTCTTCAGTAAATGGTGGACAGCACCATAATACACTGCTAAAGATACGCTGACAGCATCATACTTCCTAGGATGATTGGCCTTTAGCACCTGCATACATAGATAGTAAGATATGTAATAACAAGCATCGCTAAACAAAGATTTTTCTTTTAAATATCCACTGGTACATGAATGTAGTAGGTAAGAGAAAGTGAGAAAGAGAGAGAGGAAAGAGATATACAAGAGAAACAGAGCGATGGATGTGAGAGAGAGATTGAATAGTGCTAATCTGTCATTACATGTCAAAACTGATTATAAAGATACTGTCTTAGTATTTATAGATAGTCCTCGCTTTGTCAGTGATAACGAAATCTTCTCCTGTCATATCCTTTTTCTCCCTTTTCCAACCTCATGTCTACATCTTCCTTTTCAAGGAAGCAGCATTTTCACATACTACAACTCTTCCTTACGAAATAAGGGGCAGAAGGTTTTGGAACATTAAAATAATGATATTTCAAAGTTGAGAACCTCAGGATCCCTGAATATTGCTTATTAAAGTCTTCGCTTCTTAGCACATCTAAATAATAGACTCAAACGTGGTTAATCTAATAGCAATGAATGCAGATTCTAATGTGCCATTTATCGATGCCTTTTTTGACAACTTTTGACCAAGCATTTCAGAGCCTAAGGGTAATGGAATTTCCCCCCTGGATTACAGGTAATTTTACAGCATGGTTGTTTTACAAACTAGGTATCCATTCATTAGTTTGGATCACTTGAAAATTCTAGAAGGCCACATAAAGCTATTGAAAGGAAATGTATCTTCGTGGGCACTAAGTTTTTAACAGATATTTTACATGTCAAGAGTCCAAATCAAAGTAATCTTCATCGTAAGATCATCTCAATTTAATCATTTCACATGTTGTAAACATCAACTCCTCCTCTTTCTTCACTCCCCCCCCCCCGGGGGCACTTCAAGAGATCTATAAGCTCAAACAGTATGCCTTACAAGCAATCCTTCAAAATTATAACATTCGGTTCAACCAATAAATTATCTAACTCATTATCATGGAAAGTAAGACATGAACGCTGATTGCAAAATATTTATGCAGTAAATAAAACCTGAAATATGAACATAGGCTAGGAGATACACTAGGGTCAAGGACAAGAGAGCAGCAATAAATCCGGCAATCACAAAATTCCCCAGCCATTCAGGTGTACCACCAGGATTCCTGCATCAAGTTACATAATGGATGGTGAAAATATAATTGGTGATTATTAATGAAATGGGAACATGCAGCAGGGTCCACAGCAAATTGATGGTTGTGGTAGCCATAAGGCTACTCCAAAATCAAAACGTGATGCGCATGAAATTTCCATTAAAAATGTGGCTCTGATGTTCTAATATTTACCACAAATTAGCTGTGACAGGCAGACTATTAAAAACTAATCTAAAAACAAAATGAAGTGCCAGCAGCAGTTCTAAGCAATAGACAAATCTTTCACGCAGATCAAATTTCTACATTGATCAGGAAAGAGATTGAGGTTTACCTATCAAGACGGACCATACTGCCTATGACGATACCAGCCAGCTGGATAAATGTGCCAGCAGAAATTAAAACTGGAGCAGCTAACCCTAGAAGCAAGGTTGCCAATTTGAGTGGCTTTGGCAACCTTGCTGGGGTTAGAGTTGCTTCAAAAAAGCCATCTGGAATTTAAACCAAAATTGAGTAAAAGGAACAAAATTATGTTTCAACTCAAACAAGGACAACAAGGAAGCAGAGATGGTTACATGCAAATGCTGGTGAGATTAACCAAACAAGAGCCAAGTAAGACGACCCTATTTTATAATAGCTCCCCAAAATGAGAAGAATAAGCCACTGAAAAGACCCGGCTTTGTAGAGCCACCTTTCAGCCTCTACCTTGACAATTTCAACTTGAATAGCCCGGGACAGTTGTTTTCTCCTTGATTGTGCGCCCAAGAGATATTTTTGAAGTAGAAGATAACCCAAATGTTGACCTGTCAATGATCCAAGAAAAGCTGGTGCAGCAAATAATCCAACCACCAACCATGGGGTTGAAACATATGGCACTGGTGACCACGATATCAAGGATAGAAAAAAGGCTGCCAGGAAACTGAAACCTAGGCCAAACACCCACATCAGGAGAACACTCAAACATGACAAGGCCAATGAAGCAACAGCCGGAAAACCGCCCATAAGCAATGATGTAGTCCAAATTAGCAGTGATTGCATTATTACTGAATTATGAAGGATATTTGCAAATTTTTGATGGTAAACGACCATGTATGTTCCCTGAAAGAATCATACAATTACTGAGTTATGATATCAAGAGAAGCAGCACGCTACTACAGCTACCTCAGAAGAAACGATTTATAAATAATAAAGCCAATAGTGGAGATGTAATTGGAATAATGAAGAAGATCGACAAAGCCTTCGCAGCAATGAAGTACCAGGATGTCAAAATATATGGCATTGTTTTGACTTATTTCTTCTTCTGCTTCTGTTGTATTGCTTCTGGGAAACTGAGGAGATGCAGCAATATGAAGCAGGAAAGCAAGCATATTTTCCCCTAAATGTTGAAGAGATCCTTTCTTTAAGAGCGCCAGTTTGTCATTCTGCAAAAGGAAAACAAATTATACTCTAAGCATTAGAACCCCATATTAATGCCTCCTAGACATCTCTCCAACCCCACCTGCTTTGTTTCAATATCATAAACCAAAATCAATATATTTTAAGCAATTATTTAAATGTGAAGTTTAAAATGGGCCAGCTTTGACAAGAAATTAATCAAACTCTATTTTTAATAAATTATTCGGAAGTTTCAACAGCAGGAAACTATACATCTTTACTCATTTAAAAGTTTTTCCTTTTACTTCTCTCCTATCTCGTAACAAATTAAATGTTGGGATGTTTTGCTGGTGACTTGCTTTAGCACCGGCTCAGTTTTCTTCCGATTAGGTGATTGATCACATAGAAGTAATCATTAATTAAGATCACAAAAGAAATGTAACAGATAGCACCATCTACAGTAACCATCATCCATATTCCATGCATATTTTACCAGAGAAAGACAGATATGCACTATTGCAGGATTATTTAGAACAGAAAGCTGCATATAAAAATAAACATGCATATTGCCTTGCTGTCACAATTATTCAAATTGCATCTGCCTAGTTGCAAATGAAAGGACTTCTCTTCTGCTTCCACCTTCCAATGGGCCGAAATACGAATATGTTTTGCAATCTAGCACTAGAATAGACACCTGATTTATTAAATGAAGTAACATTACATTTAGAGACAATGAAAGGAAGAAAAGACTTCCTCTCTAACTAAAAGATGTAGCTCGCAAACAATACAATAATCTTATCCTAATTAGATAGAACACAATATAATCCTAAAAGTATTGAAACATTATAAAAAAAATAACTAAAAAAATAGGCCTTAATTAAAAAAAACAAAGTTCCCATAAATAACTCAATAAATTAACACCAATATCCAACAGTTGCTTTAGTAATTTTTCAGCTGGCACATTACGATTTTCCATGAAGGTGCTAGGTAATAAAATACAAAACAGACACTCGTCCAGGAATCTTGTTAAAAGGAAGGATAGAAAGAAACCTTCGTATGATAAACTGCAGTGTTATCTACATATGCAAAATCAAGGCCAGAAAGGCCAGCAACTTCTTTGTACACCTGGAAGTCTGTTGCAGATTTTATGGCTCCTGAGGAAAAAAGGTCCTGCAGTATTAATGTTGAAGATAATCAAAAAGAATTCTGAAAGCATGTAGAAGAAGTAAATCAATCAATGATAAAAAAAAGTAACATAATACAAATTAATAGGAATTAGGAAATAAACATAAAAACCTGCGCTATAGTCTGCCCAGATGGGTATTTTGCTACTGAAGCAAACCTCTCAATAGCCCATGGATGAGGACCAGCCTACTAAATGCAAAGTCAATAGTAATAAATAATGAACTTGAAATTATTATTGGACTCAGAAGAAAAAAACAAGTAGCAGAAAGAATGAGATATTGATGTCAAAGTATTGAAAAACTTAAATTTTCAGATTCTATGAATAAAGAAGAAGCAAAATTTATTTCTGTAAAATACTTTATTTTGGACTGGTTAGGTGATTTAAAATACAAGTATTTCATAATTCTGAATCACAAATAAATAAATAAATTGTTGATGCAACCAAAAAACGTGTCCCTCACATTATTTTACTAGTAAAATCCATTGAAGAAGTACAACTATAGACACAATTCAAATCCACTGAGGAAGATGATTAACCCAGACAAAGCAATTAAAGTAGAAAAGATATTTCTTGTTCTGTTGATATTTCATCAGTTGGAATCAACCATACATAGCCAAACAGTACGATAGTGCAATATGAATGCTACCAGTAAATTGTGACCAGTAATTACTAATCAACAGACCTGAAATATACCAGATTTCCCTCCAATGCCCATGGCCTCCAGATCAATAGCCATATGAACAGTTTTACTCCAAGGATGCTGCATTCATAAATTTATTCTTACTGGCAAGATAATGATTACTCCTCAAAAAGATGTGATTCAAAATTAAAATACCAGAAAACCAATATACTAAAAATAATGGAAGAGCAACTCCTAAGATCGAAACAGAAAAGGAAAATGAAGAAGTTGAAATTCAGTTGGGGATAATGAACATCTGCTCCCCGTTTTGAGGAGTAGTATTAGTCATTGTAGCTGTTAGGCCCGTTATCCTCAGGGATTTGTCCTTATGGCCTGATTCCATGGGACTAAGTCAACTTAGCTTCCCATTTTATTCCTTGATTTTGTACGTTCAATAGATCTATATAGTATTATTATTATTATTATTATTATTATTATTATTATTATTATTGCCACCGTCACAATTTTATGTAGAAGACTGTCAAAAGTCCAAACCAACGGAGAAGCAGATACAGAAACAAAAGTTAAGGTTGCAACAACAAATAATTCCAAACCTGGGTTATAAAGCTGTGAGCACCACTCAGACCCTCCTCCTCCCCGGTATTAAATAAAAATATTATAGCTTTCTTCAATCCATGAGCCCATTGAGAAATCCCACGTGCAAGTTCCATCATAACAGCTATGCAGGAACTGCAATCTCCAGCGCCTTCTCTGTTACAACCATGCCAAACCTTAACACAGTGTCTTAACATATCATTATCTTGCTAAAGCCTAAATGTAGATGCAAAAGCCTTAAGAATAATTCATTTTACTTTATCCACAAACTTATGAAGCGTCACGCAAATAGTGACAATTTTTTATAGGGCCCTTATTTGTCCCAGAGGCACTCGTTCTTAAAATCAAAAACCTCAAAACCTTCATACTTTAAATGAGGTAATATGATCTTTGATCTTTTTCCTTGAAATACAGAATTTTAACAGCATCCCTAAGCATGATTCCATCTCCCATCTCTTGTGCGGGAAAGAAAAAGTTAAAAATTACTTAGTTGGGCTACATAAGTGCTTTTTTAGATAGGCATACATACAAATCTATACTTGCTGAGATGCATAATGTATTCATATCATTATGTGGGATCACAAAATTTATTTTGTTAAAGATCATTTCAACTCAAAAGCCGAAGTTGTTGGGCAGCGACCCAGTGATAATTTTATTATAATCTTGAAGACATCCCCTCAGGCAAATGCCTTCTGCGCTTGAACCTTTAATTATAGACAATGCAACACCGACCATACATGGTTCTGAAACATTAATTAAGAGAATGGGTGGCCACAAGGATCAAATTCCTGACAAGGTTTGAAAACTTGTCAAGGACCATTCCGGCTCAAGCTTAAAGCAATTAAATGAAGTCCCATGAATAAATTCTATCATAATCTCTAACATGTTTCAATAATAGGAAATTTTAAAATATAATATCGCATTTAACAGCATAAATATAAGATCAAATGGACAAAGAAAACATACGTTGAGAAAACAGTATCAATATGAGAAGAAACTAGAATAGATTGCTCTCTTGCTTCAGATACATATTTTGGCGAGATCCTCACTACAACATGTTTCAGGTCTGAATAAACAAGTGTTCTCCCCATAAATAAACCACTGTCCAAACGATTTGCACCAGACTTTGCATGGAAAAAGTCCACTTCAACATCCACTTCCCAGTGAGCCGTTTTCTTAATGGTTTGGCATACTGCCAAAACATACTGAAGTTGGAAGAATGTTAATAAAAATGTAAAGTTAACAAAGCATGGACAAATAAATTACTGCAATTTGTTTAATAGTTTGATGCTGATACCTCAGTCCACAATGTGGAGTGAAGGGAGCAATCAAATTTATCATACGCAAAAGAAGGAGACATGGAAATGAAGGACAGATAAGACAAGAGCAAGCATAAGTCTATGCGTTCAGAGTGAGCCAGTTTCAGTGAGAAATAATATATTTAAATTAAATTTTAAAAAATAAAAGTCAGTTCTTAAATTTTGAGATCTCATATGGTCAACCCAAATAACAATAAAATAGTAACTAATTTGCGCTTTCGTTTCATAGTAGGTTCTAGCCTGCAATGCTTTACACCTTATAAGTCGATTTACTTCAAACTAACTATAAGATAGCTTTTGATAGCTGAGGGGCAATACAAACCAGCAGGCAAGTTCTAACTCTATCATTTAAGGCTTTGGTGCTTGAATTTAAGTTTCAGGCCCAGCTTGATTTGAAACATTGAGAAACTAACATTAGTGACTTCATAATCATCAAAAAGATGCTGAAAGGCATGCTATCTGATAACTTTTCAATTCTCAATCCGTCTTACAAGAAGCACTTGGCCTGTACAATGAAAGAAGGCAGCAGAAGGAAGATACTCAACACCCCTTAAGCGAAGTTTTGAGTACAAGTTTTGGAAACCAAAAAAAAAAAAAGTAAACCCTCCTCCTTATTTGGGGTCCAACCCGGTTCAAATCCAGATTAATCAGTGGTATCAAATACTGAATGGTTTGTCACCATCCGGGGGGGGGGGAAATCTCTGTTACCAAGTTTGAGAAGATTTTCAACCCATATGTTTCTAAAATAAGAAAGATAACTAATCATGAAATCTATGAGTTATTTTCTAATTCCATGTAGGCATGTACTACACTACATTTTAATCAACATGTTAAAATATTTAATAGCAAGAATCTGCACATGGCGAAATAGAAAGATGAAATGAAAAAGAAGATATCAATAACAAAACTGTGCATTTAACTCGTCCAAGCTCCACTGAATAGTGAGATGAACTGAGAAAGAAGGTATCAATATATGGCAAAATTATATGGGTTGAGGATCCAACCTGCAGGGCAGAATCCAGAGCCTCAGAAGCAACGGGATGTGGGCCCAACTCAGTCAAGGCCTTGACGTGCTTCAAGGCTTCAATCTCTGAGAAACCCCTCTTGCCTGCCTGTTCTGCAGTGAGAGGCACAGGCATGTTTTCAAATTGGTATCTATATATTGCTGAACAGCAATACGTGATCACCACGAACAATGTTAGCCACATATAAGAAGACCTCCTTGGGTTTCCAAGATGAAAATTGATTTGGGAATCTTCATCATCAGTAGACGTGCTACTTCCTTCATTACTAGTCGCTGTTTGAAAAGCTGTTGAACGAGTTTTATGCCTCCTTTGCATTTTATGCAAATTCAACTGAGCAAGCAGCCTATAGAGAAATCAACGACAGAAAATATTAGTTCATCGACCACAGCAAAATATTTTCTGATGGAGATAAAAAAAATTAAGCCAAAACGCAGCAGGAGTAGTAAGCTTTCGTTAATCAGGCATCCAAAATCGACTAAACAAGCAGCATAAAAAGAGGGGGGAAAATTGAATCCTACAATTATGAATTATCAATAAAGCCACAACCAAAGAAGACTATGATGTAGAATATTAACTCACCAATTAATGGAATGACAATTTTCAAATGTGGTTTACAAGTAATGAAAATTGCAGAATGAAAAGTAAGCTTTGGAGAACCCAGAATGCTCTATGCAAAACGTACGGCAAAAACGGAGACTTTACTCAATTGGGTTAATTCCAAGCTTAGAGTAATGAACCATGGACAAAGAAACAATCATGAACAAAAATATGAAACATTCCTTCGCAAATTGAGAGTTTTTTTATTACTGAACAAGTGTTTTTTTTTTGTGGTCAGATTACTGAACAAGTTAAACGTCAAACGTCAAAAGATGCGTGATACAGCAAAAGAACGAAAGATTACATAACTTGAAAGGATACATACAGAACACAAGTTTCTACATCTCACCAGTAAATTGGAGGGAACGAAATTGAATGATATGGAGTAGAAAGAACGGGGAGTGACTATGTTCGGATCTGTTTGCTGTAAATTGCTAAGCTTCCCAGAGGCGGAACTGTTTCTCCCGCATTTAGGATAGTTTGACTTCTACCAGTCTCTAACGCCAGATAGCTGTTTTTAAATGTTCTGATTAAAAAATTAATTGTAAAAATACGTGAAATTTGTTTAAAGATTAAAAAAAATTTACGTTGAACCGATATAACTTTTTTAATGGTATACAGTTTATTTTTTAACTAGATTCTAACCCCTTTTTAAAACAATGAGAACTTAGAGATGCACCAAAGTTTGTTATTTATCATATCCCACGCCCTAGTACTACCACTTAATATCAAATACTACCTCCGCTCCTTAATATAAGATCCTGTTTGATTTTTATTTTGGTCATAAATATAAGACCTCAATCTACTTTGTCTCTCATATTTATACATTTTTTTTCAAAGTAGCCCTTCTAACAATAATAGTTCTAGTCAATACACTTGATTAGTAAAGATATTTTAGGAAAGACAACACCTATTTAGGACAAATAACTAACTCAACTTATTTCCTTAATCTCCTCAAATTAGTCAACTGGCTTTTATAATTAGGACCAGAGGTAGTATCAAAGTTAGTTAATTAATTTAAATAAATTAAAAAAAACTAGTTAAGTTAGTTATTTATAATAAATAAGTATTATCTTTTCTAAAATATTCTTATTAATCAAGTATATTAGTTAGAACTACTATTATTATAAGGATTGTCATGAGAAAAAAAGATAATTATGAGAGAAAAGTGTATTGAGATCTTATATTTATTATTAAAATAGAAGTCAAACAAGCTCTTTTATTAAGAAATAGAGGTGATATTTATTAAGAAATCCATGACGAAACATAATTATATTATATTACGTTATACTACCTCACGTTCTAATTATAAAATCTCGTTTATCAACTATAAACGAGATCTTATAATTAAAACCAGAAATAATATATGTCTTGTATGCACGTTTAGACCATGTGTGTTTGGCCCAAAAAAAAAATCTATACCATGTGTGATGTGCTGGTCATTATTTTTGGGGATAAAAATTTGTTGGTTATATTGTCGTGACAATGAATATGAAAAATACAAAAAAAAAAAATACATGCATAATTTAATACTCCTCCGGTCCTAAATATAAAACCCTTATACTAGTATGTATGAGGGTCTTATATTTAGAATCGGAGAAGTATGGTTTTATAATTTACCTATATAAAAGGTAACAAGGTGAATTGCCATTTTTTTCAACAAATTGAGTCGAATCATATGTGACTTATGAATAATGTGTTAAATAAGAATATGAAAATGGTTAATTTTTATTCCCTTTTATTCTGAATACCTTATAATCTGTATATCAAACTTGAACCCTGGCTAAATTTTCAGTCCAACTCTTGAAGTTTTCTGTTCAAAACAAGCCCTAAAACTTGCCTGGTGGTAATATTTTCTCATCTTCTTAATATAAGAGTTAACTGATTAATTTAAATAGATTAAAAAAATAGTTAAGTTAGTTATTTGTAATAAATAAATATTATTTTTCTTAAAATACCTTTACTAATTATATGTATTAGCTAAACTACTATTTGAGAAAACTTTTAAACAATGACTGAATATATGAAAGATAAAATAGAAAATATTTAGGACTAATTAAAAATTAAACTAATTCTTACATTAAGAAACAATAGATTAAAAATTAAATTAATTTTTATATTAACGATTAGTAGTATTATTGAACTTAAAAGTCATTTGTTAGGAAAAGAATTGTTTTTGACTTGGTATTAAAATCCAGCCTAGGCAAAGTTGTCCCATCGAATGAAATGGCTTTTTATCAAATCTAGTTAAGAGTTTTGAACAGGCTAACCTACTTAGATTTTATATTTTCTTTATCTCCTTGTTAATTTTTTTTTGGCCGAAAATCTCCTTATTAAATTTAAAACAATGGCAGTATGTTAGATTTAAATTATCTTAATTTAATAATCATTGGCTGTGAATTAACTTCAATTTAAATTACCGATACTTAAACTATCTCTCCGCTGATTCAATAATCAATTACAGTGCAAATAATTTTATTTTTCTGATTTGAGTATTTTAGGGCTTGTTTGTCATCTTGTTTTGAAAAATAATTTTTTTGCTTTTAAAAATTAAAAATATTGTTTTTAGTTTTTTTTTTGTTAAAAAATTAGTAATATGTTTTTAGATGTTTTCTTTTTCTTTTTTTTTTTGAAAATTGGAGAAATCTTCTTTTTTCTCACATACAGCTGTCACCACCAGGAATGGCCACATATATCAAATGTGACTGTTTTTTTTTAATTTGTTTTTTAATATAATTATAAAAACATATTTTTTATTCTCAAAATTTTTAAAAAAGAAACTTTATAAAATTATTTTAAAAATAAGGAGGAAAAAAAAAAAACAGAAACAAACAACCTTAGTTTTTGTGCGGTGGTGATGAGGAGTATCTGAGTACTTCATCCATGAACAAGGCTCTTATCTTTGGACCTAAACTTTGCTTATTGGTGATTTGATTTAGCATTCATCTAACGAAGCACGAATACCATAATCATCTGCAACTTTCAAATTAGAATGAGATATTTTTATATGCTTCTAAGCTTTAGATTTTTATTAGGAAGGAATCATACAAAATAAAAAATTTAACTTAAAATTAAACAATTGTCTAAAGTAAGGAATTGAATAATCTGATTCATTAGATAAATTTATATCTGTAAGAATCTCATAACAAAATGCTTGTCAATTCTAATCATATCCGATCTCTAATGTGCAAAATAATAAGTGCTATATTTTCAGACAAATTGACATATAGCGGAAATAAATAGTTTATGTAATTTAAAATATTATATGTGATTATTTATCAACGCAACAGTAGGAGATTGGATTTAGTTATTAGTAATATAAGAACTTAGTATACTTTATTTCTCAAGTTCATAATTTTTTAAATTACTCATATTAATTATTTATATGTGTTGGAGTTTTTTTTTCAATGAGGATGATAATTAAAGGAGTAATTTAAGAAAAAACAAAGATTTATTATAAGTATAGAGCTAATTTAAATGTTTTTAATATTTATAAATTAGTTATTTAACTATTTTATTTAGGATTGAAGGAAGCATATTTTATACCGCGAACTAAATGTTAATTGTTAAATGCATTTTTTATTTTTAATATTAAAATGGTTCAGTATGTAATAATCAAATCACTTAGATGTAAATATTAAAATCAAATCACTTAGATGTAAATATTTAAAAAAAATTATGTCAGTCCAGATTTTTATGTTCACGTACGCACGTTAGAAGTTTTTGTATTATTCTTCCTCCGGTCACCTGAACCAATAATTGAGTGGTTATAAGCCATTCAATAAGGCATTACATATATTCTTTTAACAGCAGTCTCTAATTAAAATCTATGTTTGTAATTTATGATTTTTAATATGGGCAGATTAGCATAAAAAATTCATTTTTAATCCCCAATCCTAGATTTTTATTTTGTATTTATTCGGGCTAGCCTATCCATTTTATTCATGAATCCTTAATAATTAGATAGCTCTGTTGATGTTGACAAAAACAAATAGAGAAGATTTTTTGTTGTTGTGAATTTGTTCCGAAAATTTTCACCAAAAGGCACCTACAAATAAAAGTTTTTTGGATACAAATTTGTTTTAGAAGTTTAAAATCGAAGCAATGGTTGCCTCCTGCTATTTAAAAACTAATGTTGATAATTAAATAGTGACATTGATTGTTAACATTTTTAATGATAGAAGCAATATTACTATGTTTTTATACTTTCGAAATAAATTTGCATAAAAAAACTGTTGAATGCCCAACACTCCAGAATAATTTTAGGGAAAAAAACTTGTTTTGCTGAAATTGCATTTTATTCTTTTCCAACACATATAGGAAAAAATCCTTTGAAAAGACACTTAAATAATTCAATTTTTTATTGGGATCATTAAATTTGTCAAACCCTTAATCATTTCATATAATCTAAAGAGGGATTTTAAAATTTTATGAAATGACCGTGATACCCATTTTATTAGAAATCAAAAGAGAATTATAAATTAACATGTTTCATTTCATAATTAACATATTTTAATCCTAAATTAACAATTTTTTGTCTCCATAACATATTTGTTATAAGTTTTTGAATAAAACTTAATTATAATATAATCTTAAAAATTAATAAGTTCAATTGCATAGTTAATAATTTTCAGTCTAAATTAACAACTTTATGTCCTCGTAACACTTGCAATAAGCCTTTAAATAAAACTTGATTACAATACAATATTAAAAATTAACATATTATATTTCACAGTTAGTATGTTTCAATTTTAAATTAACAATTTAGGTCTCTAAAACACACCTGCAATAAGTCTTTGAATAAAAAATGATCACAATACAACTTTGAAAATCAACAAATTCAAGTATACAGTTAACATGTTTTAATTCTAAGTTAATAATTTGAAAATTATAGAAATTTCTCATTTCTATAGGTTTCTAATGAAAAAGATGTTAGAGTCATTTCATAAAATTTTAAAATTCCTCTTTGGGTTATATAATCTAATTAAGAATTTGATAAATTTAATTACCTAAATAATTTGTATTATTTAAGTGTTTTTAATGTGGTTTTCCCTATAAGTATATTGCCAAATATCAATTTATGTATATATGTGTGCATGTACGTACGTACCATAGGCTTTCATAAAAATGTTATCTGCCAATGCTGCTAAACACGAGGGCCCCGGAGATTACACTGTTAATGAATAAATTGACCACCATGCACTACACTACTCCGCAGAACCGAATTTCTGCCTTTCCCTATTTTGCCATTTTTGAAGCAGCTCTCTTTCGTTCGCCTTCCACCAATGTTAGCCCATAGCTTCAGTAGTACTAGCCGTTCCTCTTTCTCTCTCTTCAGGATACGCCAAAAGGAATCATTCCCTTCAGCTTCCCCTGTCCTTTCCCTCTTCTTCTAGCACTCGACCACAATTCTGATTCTTTTTTCCCCCCCTTCTTTTTCATTTTCTATGTTAGTTTGTGTGTTGCCGGAACCTTTATCATGGCCATGGTTCACCCTTCAGTTCACCCAATTGAAGCCCCGCCGCTTACTGATAATGCTTTGCCTAGGGCAAGGATGAAAGACGTTCAGGGCATGCCGGGCACATTGGGAGGCCTTGCCTTGCGTTTCCTTCAGTTCGTTTTCGCTGCCCTTGCGCTGGTTGTCATGGCCACCACCAGCGATTTCCCTTCCGTCACCGCTTTCCGGTATTCCGATGTTTGTTTTATCTTTACTTTTATGCTATTCTACGCTTTACTTCCAGCCGTACGCGTTTTAATTGGTTCGTAGTAGGAATTTTAGTCAATTTTTAATTCGATATATATAGTTTAAAAGTTAGCGACTGTGTATTTGTTATCTTTTCAATTCTGTCATTGAACTGGTCGCTGAGCTTGTCCATTATGCTCCCAGGGATGTGTCAGGCACTTAGAATATGCATAATTCATGGCTGCAGTAAGGATTACAGATAAAATTACATGTAGTAAAAATAACCCTTGTGTGGTGTGCGATGGGTGGTTTGGTGAATTGGCATGATTTGAGGCATGCATAGGTAGAGTGCCAATACAACATATATTATGGTGGTAGAATTTAATGCCATATCGACAGGAGTTTGATGGCAGGGACAAAACAAACATTTTTAAAGTTATAATAATGCACTGACTCAATTACCATCTACAAAATATTTGTCAAATGTTGTTTAAAAATTTCTGAAACACTGAATTCAGTGTTGTTTACCAATTTTAAGTTCACAAGAAATGATGATAAAAAATGAGGTTTGAGAAGGGTGTTTTGTTTTTGGTTTCACGGTGACAGTGGCAGTTGTCTTGTTTTGTATTTTTTTTTTTTTTTTTATCAGTAGTAGTGGTTAGGGGCAAAGGTCGTTGTCTAATCTATGAATTTTATAAGGGCTAATGACTTAACTCTGCTGTACCCTTTTGGAACCCTGTTCCTTAAAGGACCTGCTAGCATTTGGATGTTGGAAAGGAACTTTATGGTTGTTCATAAATTCTTTTAATTGCCAAATTATCTGAACAAAACACAATTTAATGAAAGGAAAAGGCTTCAGGGGAGGGGCCAGGGGATAAGTTGTCCTATTAGTTCTACTGTTATCAAAGGTGATTCATTTTGGCCAAAAATAAAGGAGATGGTCGTTGGGATTTGTAATAGTCTTTATCTTATAGCCTTTATTTTTTGCCTTCTTAGTGTAACAGCTTTTGTGATATTTGCTGTACCAGCTACCTGGTTGCTGCTGTCAGTCTGCAAAGCTTGTGGAGCCTCACTCTAGCCATCACTGATATATATGCCATTTTAGTGCAGCGTAGCTTCCGGAATTCCAGAATTGTCAGCTTATTCTCTATTGGGGATGGAGTAAGAAAATATGTGGCTAAACTTATTTAGCTTGTGCAGTTTAAGTTTTTGTAGAATTTTTATCTTTTGCTTCTCACTATGGTTGCCAGCAATACTCTGGAGTCTGGAGCATTGCTCCCGTCTCAGGTTAATTTGTTATCCGTGCAAGATGTCACTTCCATAACACACAAAAAAGAGAAAATATATAAGTACTCATACTTTCTGCGCTTGTAAGCTTGGTTGAGGAAAACCTGGGAGACTGGTAGAGAAAGAATGAGCAAATGAATTGAACGAGATAACTCCTTTGAGTTAACAAAATAGACTAAGCATTTTTCACTTATAAGACATTTACGTGACTTCCATTTAAACTTTTTCACTCTCAAGGCTAAGCTAGTTGTAACCTCCTAATGCTAGTTCGTAACCTACTTTTGTCCGCCTTCCATCTTGTTGACTGTTTTACCAATTTTTCTTGTATTGTATTCAAACTAGCATTAGTTGAGGGTTCTTCAGGCATTATTGCTGAGGTCTTATCAATTGTATGGAAATATTTTGGTTAATAATTATTTATGAAAAATGTCAGGCCTTAGGTTGCTACAGGCTGGCATTAAAAGATGGCTGTGATGGTGTTTTTTTTGTGATCCAGCCAAGTACATAGCTATTAACTGGACTTTTGGGTTGAAAATCCTCACAGGTGCTTCATTTTCTTTCTTACTGATAACTCCTACCAAGGAGGAACTTATTTCAGTCTCTGCCAACTTAAATTGAGAAATCAATTATTGATAATCAATTACTGTTCCCTCGTCTTAACAATTCCCAGCCAATCATGTCAATCTAACATCAAGTTCTTTCTTGTCTTGTTTTGATGCCATTGAAGTGCTTTCCCTTTGAATGCACACTAATACATGTGACCCTCTGATCATTTGGTGTAGCATCCCCATCAATAAATTATTTGCAGCAACACGCCTGCCCTTTTAAATCACTGCCATCAAATTAATAGAGTCAGTGCTTGTAAATTTTGTTGAGAATCCATGACCCTGTTGTGAATTGCCCACAAGATACTTTCCTCTTAGTGTAGCCATTGACGAACCTGCAACTTCACCATTGATGCTCACCTCTGTTTGCAAAACCTTTGCCAATATCTTTGCTAACATATTTACCCATTCTTGTCATCAAATTATGGTGTTTTATGACATGAGTCTGATTTTGATCTAGTTCTCCATCCAATTCTCTGAACCAATGATGAGCTCTCATCTTTTTCATTCCCTCTAAAGATCAATTCTTTGACACCAAGTTGATACACAATAGAGAAAGAATGCACAGAGTGGATTGCATGATAACTCCTGAGTTATCATAGCACATTACTCATTATTCGGTTCTAAGATAATTACAGGTTCCCCATTAACCCTTTTATGTAATGCTGGATAAGCTGGTCATGGCCTCTATTTGGTTGCTAATAACCAAATAACTAAACCTAATATTGCTAGTACAACTAGCAACCTAACTAATCTGTATTTACCCAAAACACACTATCTTCTGAAAATAATAAAAGATGGTAATGATCTTCTTGATACCAGGCTGCTTGTGTGCGTTGATTTTGGCTCCTCTAGATTACTTGTGTAGAAATATACCTTGTCATTCATGTTGTTTTAAATAACCAAACTGAATTCGTTTACACATTCTTAGTGATGGACTAAAAATGAAGAGAATATGTAGCCTTGGCAATTCTAAATGGAGAGAATTATGTATTTGGTATCTGATTATGATCTTATTAAATTACATAACTTTATGTTGAACCTGAGAAAATTTTCCTTTTTGATTTTTTGGCAGATTACTTCAACACTCACTTTTGCTGCCTCTTGTGCTTCTGCTGGTATTACGGTCCTTATTGGCAATGATCTGAATGATTGTGCACAGAATCACTGCAGCAGGTTCGAGATAGCAACTGCCATGGCATTTATGAGTTGGTTTGCTGCTTCCCCGTCCTTTCTTTTGAATTTCTGGACACTGGCTGCCAAGTAGTAGGCAGTTTTTCATGTATTTACGGTATGAACTGTGTGTGATGATTGGCCATATGTATAATTCACATTCCTGGTCCTCTTTAATGCCTTTGAACTATAGCCTTTATTCGATTCAATAGTTGTGAGCTTGAAAACCTTAGACGTGGAAATTCTTCCAAGTGCACCGCCTGTGCGCATGGCTCCATCGATCTAGTCTGAGAAGAGATGCCTGCGCCATAATATTTGGCGAAGTTAATTGGCGAATGATGTAAACAAGACATTCCAAGAGTTTCTTCCAAAGGGTGCTCCAGGCTACAGCTTATCATCATCTCGTCCTCATTTGAGGCAACTATAGGCATTTGAATTTTTTCCCAACTTGTATTTTCTTAATGTTGTCTTTTGTTTCTGCAATGGGGGGTGCTATCAGTTGCGTTGTCCTGTGGTAGAGAAAGAAAACGCTAATGGGAAACCTTTCATGGAGTCTTCTCCATGAAATGGAGAGAGAAGAATATCCAATGTTCCTCTGTACCACAGGGTGCAGGAGTATATGGAGGGAAAAAGGGTGGTGGGTTGGTTGAAAAAACGATGGGATGCTATTTGAGACCAGAGAGAGGAGGGTGGGGGCCATGTGGGCTTAGGCCCAGAAGCCTTATTCGCCCAATTTAATTATTTTTAAGCATATTAAACTGAGTATCCAAGCTTTGAAAGGATCAATCGAAATGTTTTAAAAGCCTAAAAAAGTAATCCAAGTTTGAGGTGCAAATATTTATGAAGTCTCAATTTTAATTCAAAAATAGTTAGGGTGGCTTGGTGGCTGTAATGATTGAATTATTTGTCACCAAAAGGAGAGGTCGAAATATTTGTATTTTTAATTGTTGTGCGTAAGTACTTTATTTTTAACTATTATTTAATTTATTTTTATATTATGCTTATTATTATATCTTCGTTGATGAATCGGAAGATAAAAGCAGAATTTTTTTAAAATAAATAAAGTAGTTGTATTTGAACAAATACAATAAAAATGAATAAAATATATTTTCTACTATAAAACGTCATATTTATTCTTTTGCATCTAAAAATGGAAAAGTACTATTCACAAAAAATATAGAAAATATTAAAAGAAAAAAATCCGGGGAAAATCACAATTAAACACCCTAAAATTTGAAAAATGCATATAAGGATCTGTAACAACTTCACCATAGCTTTTGACAATAATAATATGTTATGAAATTGTCAAAACTTATAGTGAAATTATCACGGTTTTTATTTGTATTTTTCAAATTTTAAGGTCTTTTTTGTGATTTTTCCAAAAATCTATTCCATCTGTTAGAATTTTTATTCGTGAAAAGGTTTGAAGTAGGTTTTAGCCCCTATTCCTATCTTTTGATTTCATTTTGTCTCCCAATCCCCCAACTATTATTTTTTTGCTTTTTATTATTCAGGTTATTTGAATTGCTTTTGGTAACTTGATTATTTTATACTATCTCCGTTTCTTACTATAAGAGCTTGTTTGACTTTTAACTTGATCTTAAATATAAGACTCTAATCCACTTTGCCTTTTATATTTATTTGTTTGTTTCAAAGTAGTCTTTATAATAGGTGCATGTGCTAAATGTTTCATCAAATGGTAATTTTAGCTAATATACATTATTAGCAAGGGCATTTTAAAAAAGATAATACATATTTATAACAAATAACTAACTTAACTAATTTTCTTAATTTCTTCAAATTAGTTAACTAGATCTTATATTAAGGATTAGGTGCAGTACAATTAAATATGGAATCACACTTAAATGTGTTAATGTCAGGTTAAACTTAAAACTTCATCTAATTAGCAATTTGTAATTAAATTTTTTGATATAGTGTATAGGTTGCAATTGATTAAGGTGATGTTTGTGTAAAAACCAAATTATGTTTTTAAAAGTAATTTTACAATTTATGAAGTAAACATGTAGAGGAATTTATCTCGATTTGTAAAAAATTACTTTTTAAAAATGCTTTTGGGTGTTCTATTGTTCCCCAACTCCCTAAATCTAATAACTTTTTGGAAAAAAAAAAAAAGACTGTAGTTAGATTTTAAAATATCAATTTAATGATAATCAAGTTCTTAACAAATTTCTTTAAAAAAATAATTATATACTACTTTTAATTTTAATTATAAGACTTTATTTATATATTATAAATAACCTCATTTATAAATATAAACGAGGTCTTACAATTAAAACAGAACTATTTCAAGTGATTTTAAACGATAATCTCAATTGCAAATTAAGAATTATATCTTAAATTTCTAATTGTCATTTTCCAATTTTTTAATTTTGTGCTTTCCCATCTATGAGACTGACGGACTGTGACTGACGATCATAATAACGAACCAAAAACGATACTTTTCGAACATTCCCGGCTCAGTCAGTGATTTCAATCTTCGACCATGCTGTTTTAATTTTTGCTGCTCTGCTTGTACCCTCCGTTTTTCGTTCAGGAGAAGAAAGAAACACTTAGAAAGATAATAAGCTTACCCTTTTGGCGTTCCCTTCCCCCTTTGAAATTTTTGTTTTAGGGTTCGAATTCGACGCTCGGAAGCCATGTCAAATCTTCCCCGCACCTCGAGTGCTCCATCCAAGAACGGTCTTCCACCTCAGGAACTTCTCGACGATCTCTGCAGGTCTGTCATTGTAATTTCCTTCTCTCTCTTTTTTCTTTTTTAAAATTCTCCTTTTCGTTTCGTGGAAGACGAGGGCAAAATGTTATTGAACACTGGGAGCTTTTCTTGGGGTTTCTCCAATTTTTTTTCTCTACTTCAATTTTATTTTTATTCTACTGTTTGATCTCATCTGATTGATCGTCATGTACGCCCTTGATTGATAGCCTCGTGCGCAAAATACCGAGGATTTATTAAGACGAATTTAGCATACATGTGCACAGGATGCGTGGGTTTTTTTAATTTTACGGCCTCCGAGAAACTAACCAAAGCCCTCAACTCTAGCCTACTCCTAGTGGCTTTCCTCTCCATCTTTGTTGCTTGACGTGCTTTCTTTATCTATGGATTGGTGAACTGGCGGTCAACTTCCCACAACTTACTAATGCCCCTCAATTTTCTCAACGATTGCCGTGGAACATTCGTTATGTGCATTACAGTTATACTTCTGCATCATTTGTATTCAGTTGCATTATCTTTCTTTCCCTGATCTCTGGGTGAAAATTTTCCTTCCATATCAGTTTTTTTTTTTAACTATTTTTTAAGTGTCTGTTGTATACTTTATTTGTTGCAGTCGATTTGTGTTAAATGTGCCAAAGGAAGACCTCCAATCATTTGAAAGGATCTTGTTTCTTGTGGAGTATGCGCATTGGTTTTATGAAGATAATTCTGTTGAAAATAATCCATCTCTGAAGTCATTCAACCTCAAGGAGTTTACTTCTTTATGTATCCTGTATAATTTCTCTTTGGATTTTTGGTCATTTCTGTCACTCTTATCTGTATTTGATAACTCTACAAGTTCCTCTTTCATTCTCTTTGTTATTTTCCTTTTCTAACTTAAGACATGGAAAGAACTAAGTATGATATTTTCTGTAGTCTAGTCATTGCTAGAAAATAGAAGAATATAAGCAAATATTCAAAACATGGGATGTATAGAGAATGTTTTCCTTTAACATTTTTCCAAAATTTTTTGTTTGGAGAAACTGCAATGATGCATTTGCGAAGGGTCATTGTTGAACCGAGTTGTTGCAATTCAACTTCTTCTTTAAGCATCAATAGTTGAAACTGCTTGTTAGCTCGAATTTAAAATGTGTTTTATACTTACCTGCTTGCCTGTGGACACGCACATCTGCTGGAGATAGAAAAGAAAAGTTTTCTATATAATATTTGTTAATATTGACAAGATACTAAGGTATAGTTGTCTAAGCATTTGATAAAAATTACAAGTCATGGAGACAGTCTGGTTTTAAATTTCCTTTGCGTTCAAACATCTAATGATTGTACCCTGTTTTCCTTAACAGATATTAGTGTTTAATAGTTGTGATGTTTTGAAGCCTTATGTGGCTCATATAGATGATATATTCAAGGACTTTACTTCGTACAAGGTTCGAGTTCCAGTTACCGGTGCAATAATTCTAGATGAAACCTTTGAAAGGGTAAGCTGGTTTAGGACCACGTGCTGGAAGCAATACTGTTTATTTGTTTTTCTTTTGTAAGATAACTTTATTTTCATGCCCCCTTACTTCAATGACAATTGTTTTACCACCCTGCAACAAGATTGTGCAACTCTGTTCTTGTGCATTTTCTAGCATCCATGGTTGGCAACTATGGTTTCTGCATTGAGAGCTTTGCTTTTAAGAATTCCAATGAATTTTTTTATCACTAGGATGACTGAACATGTAACATGCAATTATTGCTATTTCAAAATTAATCAGGGACTTAACTAGCATCCATGCTTCCCATTCCCAGTGCCATTGTCTATAGTGTCAGCACCAAATGACTTTCTCGTTTCCAGATATTCATCTTTGGACCAAAATTTCTTAGATCATTTTATCCAACTGAGATTATGAATCTCGGTGAAAGTTCCAAATTGAGGGAAGTACAGTATTCTAGTTATGTGTTGAAATTCATCCATTTGTTTTGCTCTCTGAAGGCACATTCAATAAATTTGCCCTTTGAAATTATGACTATTTGACTGCAATATTATTTCAGAGAAGACTAGAAGACACGTTGGGGAAGTCTTATAGTTTCAGTATATTATGGTTTTTCATTTGCTGTTGTTTTGAGTTCTTTGACGTGTGGATTTGTAGGAACTGGTGATATTGTTTTGTTATATTCATTTATTGGCTGGTTAAGTCAAATTTCTTACATGCCTGCTGTCTACAGTGCTTGCTAGTGAAAGGATGGAAAGGTTCAAGCTGGAGTTTTCCTCGGGGCAAAAAGAGCAAAGATGAAGAAGATCATGCATGTGCCATTAGGGAAGTAAGTCTCTCTCTCTCTCTCTCTCTCTCTCTCTATCCATATATATATATACATACACATATACGTGTGTACATGTATTGCCCTCTTTCCATTTACTCATTAGATTGGATCTACTGTTTCTACAGGTATAGTCGTGTAGGAATATATTAACCAAGTGTAATAGATTTAGGAGGTAGCATCTCATATGCTGCCATATTATCTCATAAAAGTATATAAAACACTGTTATTTAAGTTTGGTATCCAAGATACCATGATATGTGAGATGATGGCCAAGATCATAAAATTACTCCTAGTATAATTGAGAGAAACTTCAAGCCATATGAATTGGCTACTCTGTACACTACTTGTTTGTGGTGAATGCAGGTCATGGAAGAAACTGGTTTTGATGTTTCAAAACTTCTTAAAAAGGAAGAGCACATTGAAGTTATTTTTGGACAACAAAGAGTGCGGCTTTATATCATTGCTGGCGTGAAGGATGATACACCTTTTGCTCCACTTACTAAAAAAGAGATCAGTGTATGTGATTCTTTTTGTAAATGGATTTATTTTAGAATTTTCCAAGTGCTTTGAACTTTTATTAGTTTACAACACGGGCTCAAATTTATGCTTTCTAGAGCTTTCTGATAAGGGGGGCTTGTTAATGTAATCTGAAAAATGACTCTTATGTATGTTGTGTGACTTGTGTCTATTTTGTAATTATTATTATGAACTGCATATTGTGTGATAATTATTGCAACTATTTGTGAATGGGGAGGACAATAGCATTTCAGTTTTTGCCAAGTAAAATCAGTTAATGTACACTCTGTTAGCTTTTAAATTTTAATGCTTGGATCTATATTCAGTTTTGGCCAGCATTATTTGGTTCTTGCACGTCTTTTTAATTGGATATGTCCTGTGGCCGAAATAGGTTATAACGTGGTTGCTTTTGTTGGTTCTTAGGACTGGAGTCATGAATTTATCTTCTCGTGATTTATCCTTGAAGGGATATGAAATCTTTAGGTAATCAAATGCTGAAAGAATTGTTCGTTATCTGAATGCAGGAAATTGCATGGCATCGGCTTGATGAACTTCAGCCAGCAAGTGGTGAAGTGATTTCTCGTGGGATCACTGGCCTCAAGCTTTACATGGTAGCCCCATTCCTTAGGTGAGTGTTGCTAAATATAATTTTGATGATTTTGGTAATCACCCTTATTTTGTAAAAGTGAAAAGAAGTTTCCGTGCTTGCATATGTGCAGATCATTGAACACTTGGATTTCAGAACATCCACCTCCAATACCTCCAAGGCCTGATTTGCCCCTTAAAGGTGAGTCTAGATTCTCGGCTTCTGGCAAATGTTTGGTAGGTTATATCAGGTATCTTGTTGGCGGCAGCATACTTCTGCTGGTTAGCGTGAAAAGTACTTGACATCCCAAATGTCTAATTATTGAAAGTCAAGTCCTCGTTATCACTGGACTGGATTACCAGTTTCCATCAACTGGATCAATGTTGTGTTGTGCAAATTTATGTCCGTCAAAGTTTCGTACATCTCATAGTAGGTATTGATATGATTTTCGCAGGTTGATGTGCAGTCATAAACTTCAGTACTGCACATATAAAACGAAAGCCTGTGATGTATTACCTGTTCTAAATTAAGTGCTGTAATGATTTTCCTGTTTGCAGAATTTTTCAATGGTGAGTCTTCATATAATCATATAATGATTGGTGTGTACTAAAAGCTACTGCTTCTGTGAAGGAATTTGTATTTGGAAGGCGAAGAACAGTTCTACTGGAAGTAGCTCAATGACAATGGACAGCCAACCAGTAATGCCTGAGTCTGATTCTCATTCTCTGGACACGGGCCCTGGCAAGAGCTTTAGGAACTTCAGATTTGATACTGGTCCAATCTTGCGAGCAATGGAAGCTGGCTTTTCTTCCTGAAGGTCCGGACCGTAAACCTAACTGTAAAGTTCACATAACCGATTGATTTTCACCTTTTCACTTGTATGTCAGGTTGATATTAATGACTCTTCATCCGGATTAGGTAGCTGTACATGATGTATCTCAACTTTGTTTGGTCGGAGTAATATGTACATTATGTACAGGAAGCCTGGTGTAAGTAGTTTGCGCTGTTAGGTTACAATTGTCTGTAGAACCGGTAAAGGTGTACAAGTCAAATCTTCTTCCCCTTGTTAGCACTTCTTTAAACATGAGGAGGCCAAGTGAAACTGAGAAATTATGGACGTGCTTTTTTTCTTAAAGTTTAGTACACTTTTGTAATATTTTGCTAGTCGACTATTGGCTACTGCACATCATCTGTGTGTTTCGTTGATGTGATCGCCAACTTCACTAGCCTGTAATCACATTGTCATGGTTTGCAGCTGTCTGGTTCTGTTATTGATAGAATATGCCCCTTGGCCTTAAAATATGAGACCAATATACAAGGCCTGTTGAAAAGAAAATAAGAGTCAAAAGCAAAACCGAACCGAACTCAATTCAGTTTTTTCGGTTCGATTAATTAGGTTTTTTTTTTCCGGTTATTTTTTTCGGTTATTTCGGTTCTCAGTTCGGTTTCTTTTAAAATGGTTTCTTTTAAAATAATTTGGTTAGAACCGAATAACCGAAATTATTTGAAAATAACTCTTTATTTTTTTAAAAACTTCTCCCTATTTTCTTTTTACACCCTGAGGACTACTTTTTTGTCTCCTCACACCATCACTCTTAGGTTTGGCTTCTCTCTGCTGTAGTTAGAGTCCATTGCCCTCCGCTGCCGTTTGAAGCAAAATGACAATGGAGCGAGAGGAGGAAGTGCCTGTTAAATGTTAATCCTAGTTTGTAAACCCACCCATCCCAAAACAATTTTTTTTAAAAACTCAGTTAAATATCTTTTTTAGCCTCTTTATTAAGCAAATACATAAGAAGAGAAAAATTATTTTAAAAAAGCTATAAACTATCTTTTTTATCTGAAAACTTTAAACGTTTTCGTTAATGAAAAATCACATGTGAAGACTTAAATTTTATTAATTTTAAAAAGTTTTATTAAACTTTTTAAATGTTATATTTTTTCAACGTTTTCTTCTAAAATAATTTATTTTTATTGAAAAATATTAACCAAACGATTCCTTGCTTTATAAAATGGCAACGAAAATTTTTTTAAACGATTGTCCAGGCATAAAATGATAATAACTTTAGAAATATAAATATATATAATATTCTTGGTCTTTAATATAAGAACTAATTTTATTTTTAATTTTGTTTTAAATATAAGATCCTAATTTATTTTATATCTCATATTTATCCATGTTTTCTAAAATAGTTCCTATAGTAATTGCACATAATAAGAATTTTATTAAATAGTATTTTTAGTCAATATACGTTATTAGTAAGGATATTTTAGAGAAAGTAACGCATATTTATTATTAATAACTAATTTAACTAATTTTTTTAATATTTATAAATTAATTATGTAGTTCTCATATTAAGGATCAGAAATAATATTAACAGTAGAAAATGATGTGAAATAATTTTTTTCTCTTTTTTTTTCTTGGGTTAATTTTTCTCCTTTTCTTATATGTTTGGTTAAGTTTTAGCAAAAAAATATATATTTGTTCGATTAATAAAATAAGTCTTCAGATGTGATTTTTCATTAACAAAATCGTCTGGAGTTTTCAGGTAAAACAGATGGTTTATAGTTTTTTTCCATAAATTTTCTCTTTTTCTTAATTAAGAAGTTAAAAAAGATATTTAACTGAGTTTTTAACAAAAATGTTTTGGGGTGGGCGGGTCTACAAACTGGGATTAGGCATTTCCTCTTTTCTCAGCCAATGCCTTTGTCTTTATCCATTTGCCGAAGTACCCAGCCCTTTATTTTATTATTCTTGCTCCCTTATCATTTTGCTTCAAACGGTGCCGTATGAAGGTAGGGGAGGGCAGCGGACCATAACCGCAGTGGAGAGAAGCCAGACCCATCACTCTCTCCCGTAGCCTCTCACTCCCATCTCAAGCCCTAAATCTTACAGGCCGCACCATCGCAGCCTCCTTCTCCAAAGTCCAATCTCTAGTTCTCCTTTCTCCTTCTTCGGCCTTCGCTCTCAAGTTCCGATCTTCACTCCTTGGCCGTCGCAAAGTTCGGACTCACACCTCGCTACTCGCCGCAGTCTCCTCCCTCCTTGGCCGTTGCTTGTCGCATTCCAGTAGATTCCCCCGGTTCTCTCACCTTTCAATCTTCGTTATTGTGAGGTAAGACATATGCCATAGTTCAAAATTTTCAATCTTCTCTCTCCCCTGATTCATCGCTCTAATATTTTTTTTTTAGGGGGGCTCTTAAAATGTGGAATCCTCTCAGGTGTGAATTGTGATGAGAAGGAAATAGCTCTTGCCTCTCAAGTAGCCTTTTCATGTAGTCATAATTTAGAATATGGTCCCAAAACCATTATTTGTAAATTAACCCTATACACCGTGTGTTCTCTCTAGTCTCTCTGCTTTTCCAGCTGCCACTTTCAGACCGGCTATAGTCTTATCGTGAAAACGCCTTATACATATATAAAGAAAGACCATCGCTGTCCAACAATGTTTGACATCATTAGTGGTTTATTAATGATGAATATAATTTTATGATAGATGTAAACATCTCCAACTTATTTAACTATGATAGTGTGTTAAGATATACATATTTGTGAATAATTTATGTTTCACAGAAATGTCGGCCAAGACTAATAATAAAAAAAGGAACAGGGGGTGTGAAATCAGTGTGTGGGAGGTGGGTGAGATATCCATTGATTCAGCAATCTAGGTTACTTGATACTTTCGTTTGAAAAGACTGATTAATTAACAAAAATGAATCAAACTTTTATTCAACTTCATAACTTATTTTATAAGCGGTCCTATTTTGATGATTTTAATTCAAGATACGAAGCTTGGGTTTTGGAAAAGTGCGTGGAAGTAGTGCTACATTTTAATTAACATCATTTTATGCATTGCATTGCCTAAAAGGAATGTTATTTTTTGGACTTTTATTCTGTTGGTTGGCTACATGTATGATATTAGGAACCGAAAGAAAAAGAGGCCCAATAACCGAACAAGACCACTAACCGAACCGAATATATTTCGGTTAATTCGGTTCGGTTAGTTAACCATGTTTGGTTTCGGTTCGGTGTTGGCATTATGATCTATTTGGTTATTCGGTTATTTTGGTTAGTATCACTAACCGAACCGAATAACCGAATACTCACCCTTACTCTCATCACACTGATCTCGGGTTGTCCCCGAAGGTTTGGGTGCTGTACGGTACTGGAGTCGATATTCTGGATTTTGGTATCCTCTGGGAATTTTACTGAAAATTGTGAGTTTAACAATTTCATCTCTAACAACTTGCGTTTTTCTTACTGTACTACTCAAGTTTTTTTTTTTTTTTCAATGCGATTATCTCCAAGCTTCCAGTGGTACGATAACTTTAGATTTAAGGATTGGCTTATGGATCGGCGATGATAATTGATTTTATCTCTTGCTTTGGAAAGAAAACCTTGCCTTGATGAGCTGGTTGATATTTTCGTTTGCTCTTTGTAATAGATTTGAAGTTGTTAGGCTTTTGGAAATTTTTTGTCAGAATTACACATTTTATGAAAAATTTCATGTGATGGCCAAACAAATGAACAAGTTTCGTGTGGGTATTCTAAGTCTTGTGCTACTTGCTTGGTAGTTCTGGGTAGTTACATCTGAATTTCGAATTTCCTTTATGACTTTCTGGTGATCGCTCTATTAATCTTGATATTTTGTTTTATGTGGCAGCAAGCTGAATGTGTGAGACAAAGATGGGTGAGGCAGGGGAAGCAGAAGAGAGGCCTGTTTTCAGAGATATTAGACGCTATTACTGTGAATACTGTGGCATTTGCAGGTCCAAGAAGACCTTGATAACCACTCACATCAATACCCACCATAAGGTAGTTTCTTGGATTAAGAAGTCTACTGTAAACCTAAAAATTTTCGGTTTGTCAGGATTAATTAAATAACTGCTATTAAGTTTTATAAATCCTGATGTCTCTCAGGAGGAGGTGGAGAAAGCCAGAATTAATACAGATTTCAAAGTAGAGGATGTAAAATCCAATACTTGCAAGGAATGTGGTGCTAGTTTTAAAAAGCCTGCCTATCTAATCCAGCACATGCAAAGCCATTCACTTGAGGTATTTATTTGTCAACGTGCTAGTATCCTGTTGTCCAAATTTAGTTCTTCCAAATTTACATGGTTTAAAAATCATTTGTGGAGATTTTGAGCCGTAGTATGTTTTGAATTTGTAGAAAAAGATGGCAGATCAAAATTGATTTTCACTTGTTGATGTCTGTGATGTATGAGAGGAAATGTCTGTTTCGCATCTGTCAGATTTTATGTTTGATCTGTCCCCTTAGCTGCAAAAATTCTAACGTTTTCTGATGTATAACTGTTTGTATTAACACTGGATGATATTGGTTGATCAATCTACTGAAGATGCATATTTTTGCAGGGAATTAGTTTATAAGATATTATTATTATTGGAAAGTTGTGGATGTTATAGCGTGAAGCATTGGATCCCAGACAAAGAACTCCAAAATGCGTGAGGCATCATATATCAACCTAATGGATCAGTATCAGGCAGGGAGACCTCCTGAGAAGCTCCATCAGGGTGCCTCAATCACGCTGAGTACAGTAAGGTTTCAGTTTGTTTGCTTATGTCTTGTTCTTGTTAGAGCACAGTTAAATCTGTTTAGATTTTGGCATTGCAGCTTTTAACGCTCATTTAATGGTTTCAGAGGCCATATGTGTGTGCCATTGAGGATTGTCAGGCATGTTACAGAAGAAAGGACCACTTGACTCGTCATTCTCTTCAGCATCAAGGGAAAACTTTCAAGTGTCCTGTTGAGAATTGCAATCGCGACTTTGCTTTTCAAGGAAATATGACAAGACATGTCAAGGAATTCCATAATGAGAATTCCACTTCTACTACTGCTGAAAATTCGAAGCAGTATGTTTGCCCAGAAGTTGGTTGTGGAAAGGTTTTCAAATTTGCATCAAAGCTGAAAAAGCATGAAGATTCTCATGGTAAGATTGTTTTCATTTGCAATTTTTTTAATTTCTTGAGATGTTTATTGAGTAGCCTTGACACAAACTTTTGGGTGACTCAAGTTTGAAATGATATTAGACAATTTTAAAGATTGTCTTTAACCTGCAGTTAAGCTGGAGTCAGTAGAGGTAATCTGCTTATATCCTGATTGTATGAAGCATTTCACAAATGAGCAATGCCTTCAAGAACATATCAAATTGTGCCACCAATACGTGACCTGTGAGACATGTGGGAAAAAACAGTTGAAGAAGAATATTAAGCGGCACCTCCGTATGCATGAAACCAGCA